GTTTCCTCTTCAACTATAAAAGATTAATATGTATAGATAAACCTTGTACTGTTTTTTTTAGAAAAATCTGGTACTTGAGCTATTCCTGCCCTATGTCCTGTTGTAACAGGTGCTATCTCTAGTCAGATAAGAACACATTTATGAAAACATCTGTATTCCATCAGCAAAGGAACTAGCAAAATTTGTCTTAGATGAAGGTTATTCTCCACATTGGAAAGACATTATATTATATATGGCAGAGAAAAAGTTATTAGGAGTCATCTCATAAGGGAGATAACAGATGACTGCCAATGAAGAGCAGATCTGCAATTTACAAGATGTTTTTAAATTTACAAGAATTTACAATTATTGTTCTACTTTTGTGGAATATTAAGTGGAAAGAATACACAAGATTAGTATTAAGATTATGACTGGTTGACTGTGGACTTATGATTTACATATGCAAAACAATCATAAAATCATCATAAAGGTTTGTTCAAAACATCTGTTAGTTATTTCAAAATGATTTATGAATATCTCTCTTGGATCTGAAATTCACACAAAGATGTATAATAAAATTTTGCAGATTTTAGGCATATTAGAGATCACTTTGAGAAATTTGATTATATATTCTGTACGCATTTTTAGACAGCATGGTAGTTTTAGCATCATAATTTTTTTGAATTTGTAGTTTCTTTGCAATAAATAAGAATTTTAGAATTACATGATAAAATTATTTAAGTATTGTAAATATATGGAAGAGGTCAGTGGAAAAGCAGTTGACAGAAAATGACAAAATAATTAATTTGAAATTATATGGCTAATAAATATCAAAATATACAATTAACTATACCGATACTGATTCTTATTTTTTAATTATAATATGATTATTTTATCCAATGTTGCACTTTATCATGAATTTGCACAAATTTTTTGTTACTTATATCACTTTTGTATTGAATCCTTTCTTATACTGGTATAGAACAGGTGGATAACCCTTGGAATGCATGCCAATGACTTTTTCTAGCACACAACCCAGGTTTATCTTAAAAAATAAATATTCAATATCTTTTCATTTTTTTTTTTGTATTTAATAAAGAATTTATTGCATCTATAAAGTGCATATATATGTGGTGTTTTGATTATTTGAAAAGGTTCTTCTTCTTCTTTATCCTCATCGTTTCTCATGTTTATATGGGGTCGGCGTTTCCTTTTCTAATACATTTCTTCCATTTCCCCCTATCAAGGGTTCTCTTAAGTCCCCTCGGGTTCAAGTCTTCCACCTTATTTTTTCAATGCATCTTTGGTCTTCCTCTTTTCCTCTTTCCTTTTATTACCAGTTTTCCAATCTTTCCAACATAACTGTTGCTTCTTTGCTCTACATGGCCCAACCACCTCAACCTGAATTCTTGTATCTTTTTGCTCAAGGACCCCACCTTAACAGAACCTCTAATAAAATCATTCCTTATTCTATCCTTCCTTGACATTCCACACATTCATGTCAACATTCTCATTTTCGTCACCTCCATCTTTTTTTCTTGGGCTCTTGTTATTGCCCATGTCTCCGCTCCATATAACATTGCAGGGCTAATAATTGATTTATACAATTTTCCTTTCAGATTGTAGCTAACTTTCTTGTCGCATAACACACCGCTCAGCTTCCTCCAGTTCATCCATCCACATTGAATTCTATACTGCACCTCCAAGTTCAATCCTCCTCCTATCTTGACAAATGTCCCATGATATTTAAAATTCGGAACCAAAGGGAGTGGCACATTTTGGATTTTAATATTACACTCATCTCTACCATTCAGAGTCATATAAACTGTTTTAGTTCTGCTAATCTTAATGCCCCTTTCTTCCAAAACTTTCCTCCAATCTTCCAGTTTCTTCTCAGCCTTGATTTTGGAAAGTTTACACATCACAATATCATCCGCAAACAACATACTCCACGGAGCCTCATGCTTCACATCACACACCATCATGTCCATTATTATGTCAAACAAATAAGGGCTAAGGGCTGATCCCTGATGTAAACCAACATTAGTGAAAAACCCTTCTGTAGTGCTCACACTGCTCTTAACTTGGGTCTCTTATACATTTCCTTGATGAGCCTAACATATTTCTCTGGAACATTCTTTTCCCTCAAACATATCTCTACCATACCTCTTGCCTTGGTACATATCTCCATACCTGTTTGAAAAGGTTCTCTCAATACTTAAATGACACAAAATAGTAATAATAATAATACACTCTAAAAAATGTCAGTTGACACACAAAAAAATTATGCATCATAGATTTAATGATTACGGCATTCACACTTTAAAAGGTTGTCCATCCCTGGTATAGAACATGTACAAGAATAGTATATTTCTAAATCTATGGATCATGAAAATATGTGAATTCTACATCTGAAAGCAAAAAATTGTTTGGAGGTTTGGGTGGCATAACTGGCAAGTGCATCATATGGTAAGCGGATGTTGCAAGTTCAAGTCCCACTGCAGGCTAGTTCTTTTCTTTTAGATGGTTCTAAAGTATATAATAAATTATTAAAAATTATAGCTGTTAATTTAGATAAGAGATGGCACTTAATGTTTATTTCTAATATTAAATTACTTAATATCTAATCATTAAAAATAGCTGATTTATAGCCTGATTAATTACAGCAATCATTTCGTTGAGTGAAATTGTATTTAACACATTATATACCAGTATCACACTGGAACTGGTGCAATACAACACATACGCCACAGAAATCAAAACAAAAGCAGATATACAGTAAATTACAGTTGTACTACAGTCCACCAAGTTTAAAACTAGTTTAAAAAATAACTGGTTTTCTGGAAATTCCATATTTCTGGGAGGGACAGTTTGGTCTGATAATTTATATTTATTTATTGTATTTAAAATTATTTTTATTTTTGTTAATTTGACAATAAACATTGAAATTTATCTAAATTATATTTGAAAAAATTATGCTTTTATATAATGAAAAATGTTAAGAAATATATTATATGCTTCTACTATTTGTGTATTGTAGTTAAAATTTCAGAATAAAATTACATGATTAAGTAAATTTCTGAATGACTTTTCATAAAATAGTTGCAGCAGATTCATGCTTAATTTTCATTATTTTACATTCATTATGAATTTTAGCTAAAATAAAAGTAATTAAGTCATAGGTCTACATTAATATAAATTTATTTTAGAAACTAATATTTCTAATTTTAAAAAATAAAATTGTTATTAATTATATATTTTTTAAATATATAATTTTGTACAACAGACACAGAACCAACTTCTGGTGCATATAATGCAAAATACAAACACTGCACAAACGTTTTCCAATTCTTTCTGAGTTCTTCAGGTGTGACTGAACAGTTACTCAATGGAATGTTATCAGAACTAATGCCTATTTGTAAAAATTTTTAAAAATATAAATATAAATTTAATGCTGCATAAGCATTGTCTAATACAAAAAATCTAATACAAAGAAGAATACAAGAGCATTTCTCAGATGTGCAACATGCCAGAACATCTACAGCCATCTCTACATGGATGGAAGACCCAGAAGTAGTTGCAGACATCACACCTCCTCATTACAACATTGCACACAGGGCATCTCAGATGGTTGGAGTTCATAGAAATTTTTAAAGCTAACTTTGAGATCCTGTATAGATTTTAAGGATGAAATGATGGTGTTGATGGCCTGGCTGAGCTTGTTAGATATAACATTATAGTCATTAGTTGCACATGATCATTATGCACATGACAATGCTTACACAGCATTAAATTTGTATTTATATTTTTGAATTATGTTGTTTTAAAAATAGGCACAAGTTCTGATTACATTCCATCAGGTAACCATTCAGTCATACCTGAAGAAGAACTCAGAAGGAGTTGGAAAATGTTTGTGCAGTGTTTGTTTTTTGTATTATACACACTAGAAGTTGGTTCTGTGTCTGTTGTATATATATCCTGGTGTGGAGTGGTGTGTGTATATATATTTTTTGAACTAGAAAACAAGTTTCAAAACAAATAAACAGAAAATTAATTGAAAATTAAGTAGACATATTTTAAAGTCTTTTTCTTTAATCCTATTTGCCATTCAACACAGAGTAACAGTAATTTGGCTTGAAGATATAATAAATTCTTCATAAAACATAAATCTGTGTTGGATGGCAAAAAGGCTTAAAAAGACTAAAATATGTCTACTTAATTTTCAATTGAAAATGATCTTGGGTTGTGTTGTCTTTATATGCAAATAATGCATAATTTTTTGCAGAAAATTAATGTTAAAAAAATTACTTAATGTAGACTTTTGTTTTTCAGATTAATTTTGCTTTAATAAATTAGAATATTGTAGAATATATGGCCAGTTTTATAATGATTGTAATTCAAAGATAATTAATGGCCAGATAATTATATGGCCAGTTTTATAGTGATTGTAATTCAAAGTTTTTTTGATAATATGAACTGAAAAAATGTTAGTAAAATTTTGTAATGAAATTTTCATTGTTATTTAATAGAATTGAAATTAAAATGATATATGATGATAAAGTTCTGGTTATGTTAGACTATCAGATAGGATTATTAAGTTGGTTTTATATGTATTATAAACATGTTATTAAAAAATATATAGTATATATGTACCATTTAAAGTATTTAACACTGTTATTACACTTGAATAGATTAAGTGGCACTTAAAAATTTTTCTAACAGTTTTGAAAGTCTAATACAAAAAAATTAATCATTACATTTTAAAATATTGCAGTTTTACTGTAGATTGTTTTTGTAAATAAGAGAGAAAGTTGTAAATAAATACATACATTATACAAAAATAAGACAAATATTCAAAACTTTTCAATCTGTTAATACATATTTATAAATTATAATGTTGGTTTTAGCATCTTAGTTAATTATAAAGTTGTTTGAAAAGATACTTAGCTATAACTTTGCAGAAAATTTACTTTAAGCAGAAAAAATTTCCATAGAATCAGTGTATTTTGTTTCCTTTCTAGAAGCTTTACTTCAGAGTCGGCCACTCCCAGAAATTCCTGATCTAGCTGATGATCCTGCTTGCCTAACATTACCAAGTGATGGGGCATCAAGATGGACCTCTAAAGAAAATCTTTTAGCTCAAGAAGATACTGATCCTCAAGTGTTTGTGGCTCTTTATGATTTTCAGTCAGGTGGAGAAAATCAGCTTTCGTTAAAAAAAGGTAATTGTATGTATTATTTTGAAATATCTTCAGTATACTTGAAATGGATTATTAATATTTACTTTATTATTATATATTTATTATATTTTAATTTCATATAAAGCTATTAAATAAAAATTTAGNATAGTTACATATTTCATTACTTAAAAGATCTAGCATTAATGAAATTTTCAGAATAGATCATCATTTGATCCCAAAATATAATTTTCATCATAATCTAACATGATTATGATGATAATCATATCATTAGAATACAATTTCAAATTGCAGACCTATACATTCCCACTGTCTATCCTTTGTTGATCTCAAGAACGGGGTTAGATATCTGTACATCAAAACTAGACTTAGAAAGCTAAGGGGCCAAAGGCCACAATTAACTATACAGGGTGTCTATAAAGTTCATGTGGAATTTTAAAAATTTATAACTTTTTTAATATTTGTGATAGAAAAAATCTGTAGAAATATTAGAAAGCTTAATGTACCTAGTTTTAAGTAAAATTATTTAGTAACTCTTCAACACAATAATTTAACAATTTTTCGAAACTTTAAAAATACTTCTTTTTCAGAATTACATGTGACCCATGGAGTCAACTGAAGAAAAAGTAAACTGTGTTCTTTGATTGGCTGAACTTGGCTATAATAAAACAATAAAAAAAATATAAATTTTGTTATTTCCAACACATACAACATAATTTCTCTCACAAATACTAATAAAGTTATAAAATTTTTTAAATTGCATGCAGATTTCATAGATACCTTGTATATGAACTTCTGGTCTAAACTGGAAGTCACATGATTTCAATTCAAAATTTTTTCCAGTACAGAGTTAGATAAATGACTGGCATGCTTGATTGTTATCAGAAGTATGATGTATAGGGGCAAGATACCACTAAAATGCATACCAAATATGAGATGCTTAAAAGCCAAAGATCCCAATTGTCTATACAGAAACTTCTGGTGTGAACTGGAAGTCACATTATTTTTCTTAAATTAAAAGATGATTAAAAATTGCAATCTGGCCTTGTGACAATGCCAGAATATATAATTGTTTTTTAAAGTTATTGTAATTTCTTTACGGTGACCATTTGGCTTAGAAAAGATATCTTAATTCTTTTATTTAACCAGGAAATGAAAATTAACTCTTGATTTATCTTATTTTGTTATTTTTATAATATCTACTGTAGTCTTAAATACTGTCAGTATTAAAATGTAATTATCGTAATTTTGTGTGGATAATCTGTAGTGGCATTTAACCTGTACTATCACATACCCCACAAAAAATTACTAGAGCAGAAATAAAACCCCCATTTTTTATTGCATTTTTGGATTCCACATCGCAATTAATGGAAAATGGCAAAATTTATTGAACAGATTTTGAGAATGAACACAATTCTACAAGCCTCATAGAAGAAACTTCACTAACTTTCCACTTCAATAAATTTCTGGAAAGCAAATCAAATTAACAATAATTACTGATATGGAAAGAAAGATCTTGAAGTAGAGGAATCATCATAAAATAAGATCTTGCATTACAAGAGGCTCCTATAACATACAATAGGAGATTAATGCTCCTATTAAGACCATAATATAAAATACATAATGAAAAAAGGGAGTCTTTTAGCAACAAATTTGCTTTCAGCTTCAACTGTACTGTTCTCTCTCTTAGTCCATCTTCTCTTGCTTGTGTGTTTATTCTCATTTTTTGTATCCAGTGCTGGCATTTTTCTTGTGTCTATTCATACCTGAAGATGGCCAGGTTGAAACTGTACCTTGTAGTAAAGGTGTTGATGTATGAGTTATTGACATTTTTCCAGTTTTGGTTTTCTTTTAAAAATTTTTGGTTTCTTCAACCTTATCTTGTTTAGTGAGGTAATTAATACACTTTTAAGTAACTACAGTGGCTAGTTTGGCTAAAACAAATTTGAATAATATCCAATGGTACAGGTTCAAAGTTTGATTGCTTCACCCTTGCTTATTTACTGTTGAGAACTATATCATCTTCACCAAAGATATTCCTTATAATGGGTAAAGATCTTATGGATTGTAATGAATAAATGAAAAAACAGAAATTGTTTGTCATCCAATTACTATTTAGAAAATATTACTCAGATTTATTTTGCTATTATTGTTTAACTTTAAAAATTATTTAACAATATTTTAAATATTATACAAGTGTTACTTTAATTCATATAAAATGGATTTCTAAACTATGAAGTTCAAAAAATGAATTAAATGAAAGATGGAAATGAAGTCATTGTTAGTTCTAATTCATAAAGTGGCATAAAATAATGCTATTATGTGTAAACAAGGTGAAATATATTGCAAATTAAGCTAGGTCTGCTGTTTTAAATGTGTTTTATTTTAGTCATCAATATTTGATTTATATCAATGATAAAAGACAGTAAGTTTATAGCCTGTTAGTACAACAGTTATCTCATCAGATATCTTAACTGTAATTGAGCTGACTAATCACTCATCAAAAATGACCGTAAAATTTCTTCTTTGGTTGGGTAAGTAACATTCAATAAAATTGACAGTCAGTTTCTAAATTTGTTCTCTAAAATGATATTGTTATATATAAAAAGGGAATTATTTGAAATTTATCAGCTTTTACACAAATTCAAGTAGGTATGCCTAATAATAATAATAATTAAAATGTGGATTGGTACATAGAAAATGAACTGAAGGACTATAAATAGGTGTTTGTACGTGCCTTCTTTGATTTTGGAAAAATTATAATAATAAAGTGAATGTCTGAGGCACATGAAGATTTTTTCATGTTTTTTAAAGATGCTTTTGGTAACTTTAGACAAAGGAAAAGCTATTTGATGAGTTTGTAATTGCAAGTTAAAATCAGCAGATAACCTGTACCATTGCATAACACATCTAACCTTTTAAACACAAATCACCCAAGAATTAGTCACACAAAATTATAGTATTTGAAAAAATTTATTGACTATTTTTAATAATGAATTATCAATTAATACAAAATATTTAAATATTTAAAGATAGTATTTCAGTAATTATAAATGATAATTATTCAATACAGTCTTCTGTATATTCACTATATGCAGAAGATTGTATTGAATATTCTGTATATACAATAAAAACAATGTCTAGTAATAGATATTAAGATCAGGTACCATGTTGATAGCAAAAAGTAACAGAATAAGATATAATCATAATAATCTAAATTTATCAAAGAATATTTTTTCTTATTGAATAGGAATATGTTCAATAAGATTAAAAACAAGGACTACTTAATCTAAAGGTATTAATACCCATAGATTAAACAGTCCTTTAAAAATAAATTTTAATAAACTTTCAAATTTAATATTTTTATTTTTAACTTAATGATATTTATTTTTTAAAGTATTAGATATATTTTCTAATTATATATTATATTAGTGTAATAAGTAAAATATATGAGAATAAAAGAAATCAAAATTTAATCTAAGCATTTGTGCATATATTTATTTAAATTAACTGCTTTGAAACTTTTAAGAGATTGTTTCATTATAAATACTGTAATCATGTGTATAAGATACAAATAAAAAAATTTAGATATTAGCTAAATTTTAATGCTATAGAAGTCTAAATAATGAAATGATTCTCTCATTGAATTGTTATAAATAAAACCAAATCTAAAAATCTGGTGATATTTGATTATAAATTCTGTGTTGGTTAGATTTCCATAAATATGAAACAAACAAAACTTTATTTTTTTTAATAACTATGTTAATTTGTATTATAATTTTAAATAGAGATATACTAATTAATAATTTGATAATTGTTAATCATACTAATTGGCTCATCACCAAGTAAACATCACTTGATGATTAATTTTTCAATAATCAGTGCAATCAGTAAATAATCATTCCATTGGAAAAGCATTATCACTTTTTAAATTTCAAATTATTAAATTAATGTTAAAAGTGATAGTTCAGGATAATTATAGCAACCATTTGAAACCACTAGCTTTTTTTGTATTTGTTTTTTCAGTCTGAAATTTTTATACAAATTGAAAATATTCTTCTAATCATACTAATTGGCTCATCACCAAGTAAACATCACTTGATGATTAATTTTTCAATAATCAGTGCAATCAGTAAATAATCATTCCATTGGAAAAGCATTATCACTTTTTAAATTTCAAATTATTAAATTAATGTTAAAAGTGATAGTTCAGGATAATTATAGCAACCATTTGAAACCACTAGCTTTTTTTGTATTTGTTTTTTCAGTCTGAAATTTTTATACAAATTGAAAATATTCTTCTATACACTTGTAGCTAGAACTATATTTAAGATGATCAACACAAAACCTTCCTCACTTATTTCTAGCCGTATATACAGGAGTACGAACGTTTTCGGCCTTCTTAGAAGGCCTATTAAGAAAGCCGAAAACGTTTGTACTCCTGTATATACAGCTAGAAATAAGTGAGGAAGGTTTTGTGTTGATCATCTGAAAATATTCTATTATACTACTAATAAATTTTAGGAAATATATATTTTTAAGGAATAAGTTCAGTCTCACTCATAGCCAATTATCACAACTGATTGATTAATTTCCCGTGCCATCAACGTTTTCTTAAAAGAAATTTTTTGTTTTTAAACAAATAGATTTTTATTACATTACCAATTATTTCATATTGTTTTGTTGAATGCCAATTATTTCACTTGAAAGATTGTCTGATGTGTGGAATTGATTGTGGCATAAGTCAATTAATTTATCAATTAAATAATGAAAAAATGCAACCACCAGAAATATTAAAATTGTTGTTCCTATTTGCTCAAGATGGCATCAATATAGAATTACCAAGAAAGAATATAATCTATGTTCCATATTAAAAAAAATAGATGACAAAACATTATCTTGAATTAATGTCAAGAAACTTAGACAAAAATAGTTTACTATGATAATTTTAATTATACTAAGTTATTAGCAAATTATCATAGTACATTATGTGGATAAAACTATTTGGTGTTTGGTTTGACCTC